GGAGGGGAGGGGTATGGGTGTAGCTGCAGATTTGAGAACTGGCTACCTTGTGTCTCAAGGGCAATAAGACAGTAGACATTGTCTCAGTTACTTCACCATAAAACAATTCAGCACATCAACCCGCCCAGGAAGCCCCTTCCTTGTCATTTTATTTGATCTCTCTTCCTCTCCATCTACGATACTTTTTAAATCATTTACACATGCTCAGACTTCAAGAACCACACACAACCTGCAAAAGGGCTGCCATTGACCGAGCTGTCCCAAAACCCCACTGACCCAGGTTAAGGTTCAGGATGCTTCCGGTGGGCGTTTTGTCCGTCTTCGTGGCGACAGGCGTGGACGATTGGGGTGAGAAGGGTTTCGGGCTGCCGGATGAGCTCCCTGCTTGTCCTGTCTTCGTGGAGGCGGGTGAAGCTGAAAAAGGTTGGTTTGTCAAAAGGCAGGTTTATAATCAGTCGACAAATAAAAGTCTTGCTGTAGGTAGACAGCGAGCGGAGACACTGTATTTGATTTCCACCAGGCCCCGGAGCACCAGATGGCAGGGGGAAAGGACTTTAACCCAATGTCAAGCCATTAGAGCCACAGAGGAAGGAGGCCCCCAGTTATTGTGTTAAACACAAAGCTCTACGACAAATCGGCTAAGCTGCCACTGAAATTGTTTTGGCCCGTTCAGGAGTGCAAATCTCAAAATAAATAGCGATCAAACCAGCGCCCACCCTGGCCCAGATGCAGAGACGGAGAAAGGCTTACAAGTGGCAGGCCATCGTTTGAGGGGGACACGGGGCCACTCCCACAGCCGTCACACCTGCCGGGGCCAACGTGATCCCCAGGAGAGCTCAGGCTTCCCCTTCAAAGGTTTTGCTGAATGAAGCCAAACGTGGCTGGAGGGCCAGGACACATCGGTGCACCATCTCTCCCTCCGACTGTATAAAGTAACAGGACATTTCTCTAGCCTCAATGCTTTTCACCTGCATGGTAAACTTGTTTTAAAAACAGCACCTTGTGTTAAGGGTAAAAAAGGTGGTGATGCTGACCATGACCCAAAACTTAAATGTGTACTACACATGACCCCCCAAGTTCCCCCTGCCAGGATGTCACTCCACAGGCGTGTCTGTACAAAGAACGTTAGGATGTGTGGGCGAAGTGGCCATTAAGTTTGATACGTACAGGTATCTGCTGGAGATTAGCTAAGTAAGTGAAGGTTCAAATGCTAAGTAATCCCTAAAACGAATGACACCCATCTGTGCAGTCTGGCAAGGAGAGGTGCCCACCGAAGTTGGGAGGAGAGAAAGAGTAAACCCCAGTGCGTGTAAAGGCCCCCAAGGTGTAAATACTTTTTAAAGCTGACCCACACCACTACCTGCATGGATACGTATCTTTACTTTTAAAAGCACATTCTATAAACTATTGGTGAAGTTTAGATAAGAAAGTGTAACTCAGAATATAGGGGTTACAGATCTTTTTCATTTATTTTTAAAGCCTTCCTATACAATTTTCATACTGCTGCAGGGTTTTTTTTTGGTTTGAGTTTTTGCCATGTGCCTGTAGGACTTTCATCAGTTTAAAAAAAGTCAACTGGAGGTATTTTGGTTATGGGCCATTTTGCTCTGTTTTATAGAAGACTTTTAACTGTACTTTTGCTGCGAAGAAAACATTTTAAGTCAAACACAAAAATATATGTGTTGACATAGAAAAATATAAGGAATTCTGTGACTGTGTTACTATTTTATGTTCTTACAAGCTTTAATTCTGATTCCCTCTGTGGCCATCAAGGGGACATGTGAAAGAACAGGCAGATCAAAAACCCATGACTTGAGGTTCCAGAGAGCATGAGCAGGGACATAAAATTTACACTGAGATGACAAATCAGAGCTATTTACAATAGCGAAGCCCCAAAACAGGGGAGAGGATCCAGAAGATGGGGTAGGGGGAAACACAAGGGAATACTACTCAGCGATCAAAAAGATCATGCCATTGAGCCAACATGGATGGAACTGGACGGGATTATCCCAAATGAAATCAGCCAGAAAGAGAAAGATGAACATCCGATTACTTCACTTATATATGGAATATTGAGGACCAAAGACCAAATCTACAACCAACCCTTGAAAGCCGACCATAGACCTTCGGCATCCGGGAGGGGAAAGGGGAAGAAAATGGGAGGAGGAACACGGTGGGCTGTGGTGGATATGGTGATCTGGTGGTGGGAGAGCTGTGGTGACCACCCTGCAGGGAGAAATTCTTTACTGGGAAATAAATGACCAAAGATGTAAAGTTGATAGTTCACTAAAAAAAATGTGTAAAAAAAAGTTAAGACACATCAATGTATCCATTTAAAAAATTCAAGCTCACTTTTGAATAAAACCAGGTTCTTCAAGAACTGTTCCCCCAAATTCCTGCACACGCCCCCATTTCTTGTCATTTCATGTACTGTCTATCCACCCTTGACAATGAGAACTGTATGTACTTAGGAAAACGTCAAATGCTGCTGGATTTAAGGATTAGCATGACCCCATCCACCACAAAAAGCTCTTTCCACATGATTATACCCACTGAAAAACCTGAACACCCAGTTCTGAACAGTTGCTACCTCTTGGAGTGGGGTATTGTTTTATTTATTATGTCTTCTATAATATTAAAATCCAAATGCAACATGTGATACTCAGGAAGACACAGAATAAAATGTTAATCATGAAAAGCTTCCAAGATAAAGGTGAAGCGATCAGAATGTTGGTCGCAGTGGTAAATTTCAAAAGCATGGTCCCTTCAGGGGCTGGTTCTGGGTATGGAGGGGTGGCAAACCCCGAGGGCCCTGGAGGGCCTGTGGAGACATTTCTGGCTGCATCACTGTGGGAGGGGCTACGGCCTGGCACACTGCGCCAGAGCCACAAACGCTGGGGCAGAAAACAGCACCGCTCCCAGGCGGGGATTATCGGGCCCAAGTGTCAACAGCACCTAGATTGAGAAACCCCACTTTCAATCACTGCACGGACATTTTCCAAAGCAAAAGGACATTTGGAAATGCTCATTTCAATTAAGCTTTGAAACAGATGCCAATTCTTTTATAAAGCCATAAATCTTGCTCAAAGGAAGAACTAATTGCCTTTGAAGTCACCAATAATTGAATCAGATTTTAGACTTTGATGTACAACTCAGGAGTGTGGGCTAAAACACATCATTTATTCTCTACATTTACAAAATCCTAGCCTGGGCTAAGTGCTATTCTGACTGCATGAAACATGAGTTTCAGAATTAAACTGGAAAAAAGGTCCCTTCCCTCCCACGCACCCAGCGCTCTGGGTGGGGTGGGGGTGGAGGAGTTAATGATTCATGCTGTATTTTCTCCACTTCTGAAGCCCTGGAAACAACCTATAGGTTCAAAAGGGCTGCTGCATCCACCACCCATCAGTCGCTATACTGAAAGGGAAAGGATTCAGAACACAAGGTGAAATCCAAAAAGCCTACGCCAGACACCCTAACAGGCCATCCATGAACGGGGCTGTTCACACCTACACTTGAAACAGTATGCACACTTTCTTTTTTTTTTTAATTTGAGTCATTAAGTAAAAGAGTACTTCACATTTGGGAAACACATTTGAGACTTCTTTTCAACAACCAGAAATCTGGCAACACTGAGCCCACATGCCCACTGAAAAGCAGCCGGAGCAAAAGGCAAAGGACCCTCCCTAGCTGAGCACATCACAGAAGGATCTGGAGGAACTAGAGACATAAGTGGCTGCACTCTGATTCTCTCACCCCCATCCCAGCTGCTTTCCAGCCTCACCCACCCCCACAGCCACTGATCCCTAGACACATCTGAATTTTCAACCTAACAGTGTGACTTAGAGCCACCCTAGAGAAAATTCTGGAAACAATGCCTGGAGGTGGACTGTTGGGGGGGGGTTGATTTCTCATAATTAATGATTATCTTATAACAGGTATGTATTGAGTTTCCAGTTAAAAAAATAAAAGAGTGTCTTCCCTTCTGGCTCATCCGTAACCCAGAAGGCACCAGAAGACTAAAGCCCCGTCAGCTCAGGATGGAGTAAAAGCCGGGAGCCCAGAATCCTGCCATAACCATACTAATGACTTAACTCAGAATCCCAAAAGCAATATTGACTAAGGCATCAATTTGGCCAGGAGGCCTAAATAAAGGGGGAGCAGGAAAATCACCAAGAATATGAACAACTCGAGTGCAGGACCCCAGGACAGTGTGAGTGACAGGTGACGGCAGCTGAGTCAAATGCTCCTGAGCAAGCTGAATCCAGGCCCAAGGACGATGGGCGCAGGATTCAGAGCCTCCCTCCCCCCAAGCAAACAGGGGGCAGGCCCCTAAGCGCCCAGTTTGACTTGATGGCTTGTTTCCATTGGTAGTTTTATGTGCTGGCTACAAAATCCCCACTGCTGAACCTGTGTCTTTTCTATTATCCTATGGCAATTCTTTCTGGACACCATCTTGGGTAATCAGTCTCGCCAGGCTCCTCCCAGGGGCAGAAGCACAGCCATCAATATCCCACTTCCGGTCCACTAGCTGCTGTTGTCACTGCTAACAGCAGAGGGCACTGGGCTGCCGGGAAAAGCAGCCAGGCTGGATTCAGGGAGAGGGTGTGGGACTCCAGCAGGCACCTCCCTCACCATCGACAGGCACCTCCACTTGCCTTCCGTGGACTGGGAGACTGACAGCTTCCTCCAACTTCCTCAAGGTTTGCAGAGGTTGGTAAGTCAACCTACAGGTCAAATCCGCTACCCCTCCTCTTCTTGTATGGCCCACAGCTAAGAACGGCATTGACCATTTTCGGATTATTGAAAAGAAGTAAGTAAAAATCAAAGAACATACAAATTATATGCCATTCAAATTTCAGGAGTCCCAGTCCCAGCCACATATTACAATTGGCTGTTCTAGTAAAAGACATGAATTTAGCAATAAGAGGCGGACAGTTGCATCACTGGGTCAAAGTCAGGCCCACAAAACCTAAGATGTTATTGCACTGTTACAAGTCAAGGGGCAACTTGCAAGCGGCAACATGATTCTGGGTATCACCTGTTTGTTCTCTACTGCTGAGTGTCTGAATTATGATTAGCAAAATGACCTGGGCACCTGCTGGCAGAGACTACTAAGAGGCGGGCTATTCTTCCCACTCCCCACCTAACAGTAACTCCTCACTCCAACGATGAGAGTGGAGTCAGGCATTCTCATGTCGTTTCAACCTCCATACCTCATGTGGAGGAGAGAAGCACTCTTAATTCAACATATGATATGTGTTACATTAGTCTACAACTGTTTCCTGAAATGTGGGCCAGAAAAAAACATGGTGACTCACGAGCCATGTGCTAGCTGCACGTCCAGTAGCAAAATCGGCCAACGGGACCTCCCTGGTGGCCGAGGGTTCATTCTCAGCGCTGTCACCCGAGTTCAACAACCTGAGTTCGATACCTGGCCAGGGAGCTGACCCACTCGGCACAGCAGGTCTCTCCTGTCTTCTGCGTCCCACTCTGCGCTTCCCACTCCCTGTTCTGCTCCCTGTTCTGTCTCCAGTGAATCTTCTCACCCCCTGCACCTCTGGCCTACACCCCAGTTCTTCTATGCAAAAATAAAATATGTTTTAAAAGCAACTACAAGCAACGGAAGCACAAGCACTTCAACTTTGATGACCCATCCTGGAAAGAAGCCCATTGTTCTCATGCTCAGCTCCCTCCCTCGTCTCACCCTGTCCCACGAGCACCAGAAGAAACACTGTGGAGCCCAGTTGGTGGGGGTGGCTACTTCACGCACTGTCCATTTCACCTTTGCTAGGAAGGAGCAGGAAGGTCCTGCTACTACGGAGACGCACAGACCAGGAAACTCTTGCCCAAAGCGCATGTGCGCCAGCCCCCTGCCCAGGCTCCACTGCCACATTCCAAAAGGGCCAGAGACGGCCAGAGACGTGTCACTGTGGTGCACTTCACCGAGCAGTGCTCTGGGGGAAGGGCTCTTGCCTCCCTCTCCTGCTGCGCTACCAACTGAGCCTGCAAAGTCCAGTGAATGTTAACTCTGAGAGACTCACCCATGCTCCATTAAGATAAAATTCTTCGGAAAGAAACAGCTGTTGGGATTCATCCAAGAGACATTTGAACTTAACACTGAAGGGTTTCTGGCCACCACCATCCCTCACTTCTGGAATGACCCCCAGCTGGCCAGCGGGGATTCGCTCATTTTCTACTTCCGAACAGCCAGACTTCCATGGGCCACTCACTTAAAATGTGCTCCACTGGAGCTCCTCACGGTTCTATGGCAACAGCCAGTGTGGGCTTGACGGGTGCAGCCCCCCAAGAAGCCGGTGCCCCACAGCCCCCCTCGCGAGCCCGCGGCTGACCTGTGCTCTTGTCCAGGAAGTCCATGGACTCCTCACTGGCGCTGAAGTGGCTGGAGGTGGCCTTCTTCTCGGGGTCCGGCTCCACGTCGGACCCGGTGTGCACAGAGGAGTTTGTGCTCATGGGAGACCTCGGCATGTCCGACAAAGAGATCCTGCGGCCGGCACCCCCACTCAGCATGGGCTTGCTCATCAGGATCTTGGGGGAGGCCGTCATGTCAAAGTTGAGCTTGACCTTCTCCTGCTTGTCTACCTTGGCGGCTCCGGCGCTGGGGTTGCTGGGGTCCAGCAGCATTTGGTACTGGCTATTGGGCGTGTAGGGTGTCCTGAACGGAGAGTAATTAAAAACCCCGAACTTTCTGCGGATATTCTCCACATAAACTTCCATCTCTTGCATTGCACTATTGAAGATGCTTTTAGTCTTTTTCACAGAAAAAGGAATTTCTTTAGACATGAGGTAGCAGTTATTGATAGGAACCCAGGCCCTAGGGGTGTGAAAGAGAGAGTATTAGTCAACTTTGGCCATTTCTTAAAGGCTCTTTTTTTAAGTTTCGAAAAATGTATTGAACTGTGCTAAGAACACTTAAGTTCTACTGTCTAAGTGCACGACATTGTCACCCCAGCCCAGCCCCTGGCAACCACCAATCCACCTGATTATGAATTTAGACTGTTCTGGATGCTTTAAATACATGGAACCCTGTGGTGGTTTCCCTTCTACAATGTGCCCGTTTCATTTCATTCAGCACAATGTCCTCAAGGTTCCGTACTGTTGCACATACAACAAAATGTTCTCCCTGTGCAGGACTGAGTAGTACTCCATTTAATCTCATTATTCATCCATGTGTCCATGGGCACTTAAGGCTGTTTCCAGGATTTCTTCCTTGACATAAACCAAATTAGCCGAGATTTTAAAACCTATCCCATTTTTTTTTAAATGACTTGGATTGAAAGGGGAAAAAATAACATTCACTGAACAGTCACATTCTGTCAGTAAGGACAGCATAAGAAAAAGCTAAAATATAAAGATATGCAATAGACTTAGTGGTTTTAACCCAATTTAAAAAGATAAGAAACTAGTCCCGTTTGGCTTTGGTTTAGTGGCATGAGAAAATCTCCCGGGCTACAACTCTGAAAGAGAATTAACTCCCAAATCTCACTCTTCTGCATTCAAGCAAAAGAGCTTATATTTTTTCCTATTTTAAAATTAGGACTCGGGCCCTCCCTGGCAGCGCGCAGTGGATTAAGGCGCAGTGCTGCGAAGCTGGCTGCAGCCGCTTCAGTGCAAGTTCAATTCCCGGCCAGGGAGTTGACCCACATGGCGCGGCAGACCTCACCTGTTTCTCCCGCTGCTCCCCTCAGCAGTGTACTTTGTCAGTCTGCCTGTTCTGCTCCCCACTCTGTCTCTGGTGAATCCTCTCACCACCCCTGCACCTCTGGCCTGTACCTCAGTTCTGTATGCATAAATAAATAAATATTTTTTAAAAATAAAATAAAATTAGGATTCTCCACAGGACTTAAAAGGAAACCGTTGGGAAGTGGCAACCCGAAAAGCAATGTATGGTTTCAACTGTGAGAGCGAACTGCAGGGCCCAGTGGCCTCTGGTGGAGGAGGCTGGGTGTTGACAAGCATCTGAGACGCTCCGCTCTGCGGTGCTGCGAACCAGCGCTACCTCAGTCGACAGACAAGTGCCAACGAATTTTCTAAACTTCTACCAAGAGCACTTAACAACCGTACCTGCTGTGTAAGAGGCACTCAATGAATGCCAGCACTTTTGTGATTCTACAGGCACTTAATAATACTTTAATAAAGTATTTTCTATATTTTCACATAACACTGTGTGTCTGTCCGTCTGTCTCTCGCTCAGAAATAAAACCAAAAGGAGCAAAATCCCATGAGAGACAGAAAGTACGTGATGAGACTGCTTGAAACGTGGCGATGCAGGGCCTCCCTCGGGTCCCTCCGGGAGCACAAAGTGGTCTGGCGCTTTCCCGAGGCTGTCGCCGGACCCACTGTGCTCACCCTGCTCCCGACTCAGGTCTGGGCTCTAGAGCCCCCAGCGAGCTCCCCGAAGAAGGGGCAGAGGACCCTGCAAGGCTGTCGGCGAGCCCAGCCCCCTCAGTCTGAGGAAGGGACACTCCCAAGAGGGAAAGGCCCTCAGGAGAGAGGCCTCCCCATGGGGACTCCCGGCCCAGCCCCGGCCCAGTTCCCGGAATACCCGCCGCTTCGGATGTCTGTGCAAACGCACAGCCAGCAGCTCAACACCCTCCCACCAGGGGACAGAGGACACTGGGAGGTGGCAGTTAGGATAATCTCAAGGGCTTCAGACTTGCTGCTGGCCTGCCATCCGTGGTGGCTACCGCCCAGAACCACCCTACCACACCTTTCAGCGCAGGGGAACAGCCCCAGGAACCCCATCTAACAAAGCGGAGAGCAGACTGAGACCTGGGAATCATGGGTGCGTGAGGCAGGCTTTTCCCCCACCCATACACATCCTAAGTAGGCCCACAGTGTGCTTCGCTGTAGAACAAAAACAGCCTAAGTGGCAGAGAAGGTTAACTCCATGACGGTTGATTCCATCCTCAGGAAGACAAACCGAACACCAGCACCGATCCCTCTGGCCCTCAAATAAAAGCCAGGCTCCCGGCCACATCCCTCCCGCCCACCCTTCCCCTCGCTGTTCAAACCCCTCTGCCCCTGCTCTTTGTGGGGACACCGGCCTTGGGGGACTCTCTTCTCTCCCGGACCCTCCCCAGACCTGCCATTCCCTCCTGCCAGAGGTCATCCGTGTGTTACCTGTTTTCACGCCAAGATCTCAGCCTTCACACCCGCAGAGAGTCGGACATCCCTCCCTCTCCCCAGCCTGGCCACTCATTTGAATGACTATTAAGAAGCTTTCTAACGGAACTGGTCAAAATCAAGTGTATTATTTACTGTGGAACCCGGCAGACCACCTTGGTGTCTTCCCGTCTGATCTAAAAACGGAAGGCCGAGATTCTGAATAAAGCATATTGCAGGTAACACTGAAATTCACTCTTTTCTGTGATTTCCAAGATGCCAAGCCAAGTTTTACAGAGAGATGCAACGTTCATTGAAGAGCCTGGCATTGTTTAAAAATATAAATAGCATTTTCGTATATTCTCGGGGGGGGGGGGTTTGGGGGGGATGATTTTTAGACTGTGCATTTTATGTATCCTCCCCCGACATATTCACACACTTCCTCTAGTGGCTTGGCTGGGCTCTGAAAAGGGTTTTGCCTCATTTAATCATAACGGAACTTGTTAAAAGGGAAACCAGGTATTAACTGCTGCTCATCTCTGCCTACCTGTTGTGCTGGGTGCACTCGCTAAAGGGAAGTGCTGTTAGCTGGGATAATTCACGTCACCACGAGCGGAGGGGAGGGGGCCTGTCAAAACAGCAACCCCTTCTAATTTCCCACTCTAGCGTCCAAGAAAAGGGAACAGGAGGGAATGGCCCAGCACAATGATTGTCATTTACAGGCAATCTGGGAAAATACCTCCGATACCTAGAACGATAGTTTTCAAAAGTAATTTGCATGGAGGCTTAATTTACACCAGAAAAATCCAAAAAAGAACAGCCAAACCACAAAAGCAAGGCAAAGACACCTTTCCAGCTAACATGTAGAAAAAATCCCAAGTTGATGAATTATCAGGCTTAACAGAGCAACAGCACCCCCCTTCTCACAGCCACTGACAGCATCAAAGGTTCCACTCAAGTGGCACGTTCAGAGCGAATTTTTAACTCCCACCTGTCATGTTGTCCAAAGAAACGGGCATCAACCTGCCCATCTTTATCCCTCAGGGCTTTTGCGGGCCAGAATGGAAACCCCTTCAGTTTTGCCCAGACCAAAGGATGTGGATTGCTCTAGGAAAAGAAAAACAAAATCCAGGGTTTGGATGTAACTGACAACAAGAATCACATATGACGTTTGGCGTGTGTGGTGATTAAACAGAGTAAAGGCAGAAGTGAACCAGGCCACACACTGACCAGGGGCTCCCCGGGTGGTGCTCCCCAGAATGTGGGTGAAGCTAGGAAAGGGGTTAACCCAGGAGAAGAAACGGGTGCTGAGCAAAGACCAGGCTTGAATCCTGGCTGCAGCCCATCATCTGGGGGGCTGTGGCCAACCACTTTCCTGCACAGCGTGGAGATAATTCCTGCATCCTGTGAAGTCGGAGGATGGACAGCACATTAAATCTTGTATATATTAAGGGCCAGCAATATCCCCTCGAGTCTGTACTGAGAACGGTACTGACTGTGCAGGTGTTCGTCTCCAAGGCAGGAAGAAACAAAAACAATGTTTTGATTCTCAACTCTACCTGCCCCATCTTGCCCACAATACACTCCACCCCGCTCCCATTCCCCGACCAACCCACCCCAAGAAGGCCCCCTTCCCGCTGCAGACTACAGGTCTGGGGAATGCAGGCAGGTGGGGAAGGTGAGGGTGGTGGTCTAGCCCTGATCCCGAGAACCATGGTTTGGGGAGACCATGCTGTTAGCCCGGAGTAGCACTTCCCCACCGCTTAGAACAGACCCCACACAATTAGTCATACCACGCTGGCTTCACGCACATCCCAACATCTGCATCAGCTGGGCATCCCCTCTCTGATGAGCTCCCCATTACTGTGCAGGCTGCCGTCTACCCAGGTAACGAGCACAGTAACTCACAATGCTTCCGGGGTTACGTGCAGCGCATTCTCCCGTAACGTCATCAACAAAAAATTACTGAAAAACTTCAGCCAAGGTTTCATCAACCACACCACCCGCAGAAAGCTGTCCTGGGCAGTCATGTTAAGGCACAGAATTCAGAAACAAAGAAATTCCGACTTACACAAGGCTCGCAAAACCAGTTATCTCGTTTTTGGCAAGCAGCTAGGTAACACTCTGGACATACTTCAATCTCATTCATCTGTAAAGCAAAAATATGTTAGAGCAAGTCACCCCAGGGCCCTCACATCTGGTGGCCTTCCAGAAATGCCTCCTCGGCAGAGGAGCCCAGAGTGGGCTGAATCCAAGCCCTTACCGCCAACCCGACACTGCCACCCCACCCAAGCCGCCATCTCTCTCCCGGACCGCACGGCCCAGCGTCCACGCTCGCTCCGCTGTGGCTCATTCCCGCAGAAACAGCAGCCAGAGCCACCTCCACACACAGGTCTGGTCCTGCCCCGGTCCTCACACCGGGCTGTCTTCTCTACTGGGACAATCTGTGCTCATCTCAGTTGGGGTGGGTTTGCAATTAAGAATCGAAGATGAACCAGTCTTGAAAGAAAGAATTCTCCAGCCAAAGCTGAAAAACGGACAAGGAATCTAAACACCTGGTCAATGGTTCCTTCCAGGCCATGTGTGACCTGACCTCAGCCGCCTTGTCGGACACCCTCTTGGGCCTCTGCTTGTCACACTCTCCAAAGTGCTTCATTAAGACCTCATGGCCTAGTTTTCCTCCGCTGACACCAACCTGACCGTCCTATGACACAATGGCCTCCTCCCTCCCAGGCAGTGTCCCCTACGGCCATCACCGCTCTTGAGAGTCAGGGCCTCAAGCCCACTCTTGCCTCTGATGCAGACCCTCATCAACAGGATGGGGATGAGAGCAGCACCTGTCAAACAGGCTTTTAAAAACTACATGAGACACACATAAAGCCCCTTCAAGTGACATTGTAATCAATGTATTCAGCAAAGGTTTTTTAAAGTGTGCTGGTGCCACTCTAGTATCCTAAGGCATTAACTCACCTATTCCTCACAACCCCGAGATGAGATCATTAACCTGCTCCAGGTGTCACCACTTGGACCTGGAATTGAACCAGTAAAGTTGGACTCTCAAGTCCACACATTTCACCATGGCCCTGGGAATTACTAGTAGCTTCAGGCCATCAAGCTTGTTTTTCTGTATCTCTTACATCATGAAATGTGTCAAATACATAGCAGGTGCTATGGTTTTTTTTGTTTTGTTTTTTTAAAGATTTATTTACTTGTGCATATAAAACTGGGGTACAGGCCAGAGGCTCAGGGGCGGTGAGAGGTTTCACCAGAGACAGAGTGGGGAACAGAACAGGCAGATAGACGAAGTACACTGCTGAGGGGAGCAGCGGGCGGGTCAGGAGAGGTCTGCCGCGCCATGTGGTCACCTCCGGGACAGGCGGGGATCGAACTCATGCGGAAGCGGCTTTAGATTCTCAGTGCTGTGCTTTAACCCGCTGCGCCACCAGGGAGGGCCGCAGGTGCTATGGTTTATGATGAAATGTATGTATAAATATGCTTATATTCCACAGATGCGTGAAGCTGTCCACTATGTTTTTTGCTATTTGACTCATTTCACTCAATATAATCACCTGGAGTCCGTCCAAGGTCCCAATGGCCAGCGGTTCCTCTTTCTTCACAGCTGTGTAATGCTCCACTGAATGTATCTGCCACAATTTCTCAACTACTTTTAACTTATTTTCTGACTTAACAGATCAATTAAAAAAATGAGTGAACGGGGTCCTCCCTGGGGGCACAACGGTTAGGCCACAACACCACAAGTGAACCACAGCCGCTGCAGTGCCAGTTGGATGGCAGCCCCGGACAGCGCGGCAGACCTCTCCTGGCCGGCCGCTGCCCCTCAGCGGTGGGCTTCGTCCATCTGCCTGTTCTGCTCCCCACTCTGTCTCCAGTGGATCCTCTCACCACCCCTGTACCTCTGGCCTGTACCCCAGTTCTGTGTGCATAAATAAATAAAAATCTTTTTTCTTTTTTAAAAAATGAGTAAAATGAATGAATAAATAAACGGTAGAACATATTTCTACCTTTTACCGTCTCTGCTTCTGGACTATTCCAGAAGTACTGATGGGGGAAAATGAATGGTAATGTCAGGTCAGGTCAGCCCTGAACGCAAACTTGAAGCCCACAAAGCAGCCATGTGTGGCCAACAGGCAGATTCAGAAATGGCAGGAAAAAGGGTGGGGAGGCACCATCAGGCAGTCAACCAATTAAAGGCCTCGCTTCTGAGCCCAAACGCAGGGAAACTGATGAATCCCCAAGAGGAAAATGACTGGACATGCCCACAAGAACCTGCAAGCCACCAGTGAATTTATAAATTGTACATCATTTGTCCCCAAAGAAATGTGAAACACCACTATTTTCACTGATCACCCCAGAGAGACACGTACACCCACACACCCACCCAGAAAGCACACAGAAAACCACAGCTGGGCTCCCCCCCGGGTGCCGGGACGCTCCATCTGGAGTGCTCTCAGGGCTCTGGGCTGTGACCTGGTAACTGCACTTTTACAATGACTCTGGGGAATCATCGGGACAGCAAGGCAAACTCCTGCTCTCCCTATTGTTCCATCAGCAAGAAAACATGCACAGTGGGAGAGACAGGCAGGTTCTAAGACTCTCTAGGAATGTACAACACGGCCACGGCCAACTTCTAAGTGTGCATAGGGCTTTCTTCCCATGGCAGCAAGTGAACGATGCGATGCAGACCAGCTGCTCCTAAGAGCTCCTCTCCAGCCGGGGCACACGAGCCCGCGGGACCTCTACATCCACACACTCAAAACTCTCCAGGACACCCAGGCACTCCCCAAATATCCTCGACAAGGACACTGAAAGGGACCTCACTCAAGGCCACAGTGGGGACACAGGAACTCGGACCACTGTGGAACCCCCACTCAGCATGCTTGTGAGGACCCAAGGTTGAGAAGGAAAGACCATGTGCAGCTCCCCGACTCAGCCAGGCTGAGGCGAGGGTGATTTGTAACCTGCGTTGCTCTTGTTTTCCTTAAAGAGAAAGAGAGGGGCCGCTGTCCACACCATAAGCAAATCCCAAAATCCCCTCAGCTACCCATCGGGGAGATTCTGCAAACACAAACTCCAGCACCCGCCCCTCCCTCTGGGCATGCGGAAAATAGGACAAGAGACACATACATACCTCATGCTCACAGATTTTGATGACTACTTTCGCTATTTGAGTCAATTTGTGATTTCCTGAGGGAATAAAAATATAGGATTAATCCCTGGAAATACCGTAACACCTGCCACTGGGATCAATTTCCATTCACAATCTCCTACGTTCCCCCAGCATAATGCTTTCCAAAGTAAAAAATCTGATGTTTCTGGCTTGTGACATGAATTCAGGTGGTCTGACTTTTCCCATGAACAGTGACCGGACTTGGGAATCTCCACGTTGCCTTATCTGCAACTGGCGTCTTATGTGGGGGTGACCTCGCATCCAGGGACTAACACTGCAATGGGGTTTTTGCCTTCTAAAGGTACAAATTAGTGGCAAGGGGTCTTACTCCATGCATTGTTCCAGACCCCAACCTAAGAGGGCTATGGGGGAAGGCGGGCTTGAAATGAGTATCTCTGGGCACCCAAAGTTTTGAAGAATTTCATATCAACTACTCAATGAGCCTCAATGGGGACCCGACGCAAAGGTCCTCATTTCATTCATGAGTCAAGTCAAGTTGCACAGGGACAGCTGCCCACGAGGCCACTTAGCTATAAGTTAGGGACCTGGATCTCACTCTAAATCCCTCACCTTTGCACTAAGCCAGAGGACAAAGACAATCAAAAAGCCATGTTTTCTTCAAACTCTACAGTGCGTATTACTTTCAAAAAGATTTCACAGACACACACAGGTGCACAAAATAACTCAAATGTAACTGGCGCTCTGTTAACTCTGTATTCCACAAGCCACTTGAGTGTCCAGTGGCAACAGGTCAGGCAGGAATTCCTTGTCCAGAGCTCACTTCACAGCCAGTGGCCACCTGATGTGACTGCTGTTTTCAGCCACCTGACCTCACTCACTTGTTTACATGAGTTTATAGACTTACTCGAATTCCCGATGCCCAGTGACACTCTGCCCTCTCCGGAGCCCCAGCCCAGCTAGGAGTTAATGGTCATCATGTGCTTTGACCTGACAGACACTTGTTTGTACGTCTTCCCCGAAACATTAGCTACCAGTCTATGCAGGGCCAAGGGCTAGGCAGCAGTTTACATCTCTTGTGAGCAAAAATAAATACAGCGCCCGGACAGTGTCAAGAAGCAGAGGTCTGCGAGAGCTCCTCATGTGGTCTGCGTACTGAGGGCCCTAAGTGCTCACAGAGGAGAGTCTGAGGACAAGGGAAGCCATCAAGGCACAGAGGAGAGTGTTTCAGCAGGGGACAAAAGCAGCAGGATGGAAGAACCCCAAAAGGCCACGCTGCCAGAAGGTGGACAGGCAGGGCAGTGGGACAAACGGACAGGTGCCCAAGGTGGAGGACTCAATGGAAATCCACCTCCATTCTGTCCAGGAGACTGACTTCCCACAAAAAGACAACAAACGAAATTTTGTCCATAATACGTAAAGAACTCCTACACTCAATAATAAAAGAATAATAATTGAAGTGTCAATAACAAAAGAATAATTGAATTCTCAAATGAGCAAAAGATATGGTTACTTTATAGATAGATACACACACATATATATACACACATACATACACAAATGACTAATATGTGCATGAAATGATACTTGATACCACTAATCATTATAGAAAGGAAATTAAAACCACAACATATTTTACACCCTCAAGAATGACTAAAATTAAAGACAGATAGTATCAAGTGTTGACAATGGTGGAGCCGCTCACATTCAGTGCTAGGAATATAGATGATACCATAGCTTTGCAAAACAACAAGCAAAATGTCTTGTAAAGTTAGATGCAAACCTATTCCACGATGCAGCAATACCACTCCTCAGTATTTATCCAAGAGAAACAGAACCGTATGTCCACACGAAGACTTGCGCAAGAATGTTGAGTGGCTTTATTCTACAGTCAAAAGTTGAAAACAAGCCCAATATTTATCAACATCACCAAGGTGAATGGATCGATGGTATGTTGATAAAATGAAAAAAAAAAATCACTCAACAATCAAAAGAAATGAGCCACTGATACACACAACAATATGGAAACACTGAAAGCAGCCAAATACAAGAATTCAATCTCTTGACACCACTGACAGGTAATTCTATGCAAAACTAATATATTGTGACAAAACAAAAAACAAACAAACAAAAAAACCAGAACAGTAGTTCCCTCTGAGGAAGTGCGATTTACTGCAATGGTGCAAAAGGGACTATAATAGGGTAATGGAAATATCCTGAGTCCCATCTGAGGTTGTAGCTACACCTCAGATGCACACGGAAACTCAAAGCACTCTGTTGTAAAATAAGGCTTTTCCAAAGGACAGGGATCAGCACCCAATGGTCACGAGCTGCTGCGGATGTCAGCTCCTACCTTAAAACGCAGGTCATTACCACCCCCCCTTATCACACACATTAGTTACCTGTGTGCACAGTCTCAGCTACTGGCCCTGACGCATGACTGGGTGCCTGATTTTTTGCATGAAAGATGGTAAATGAGCAACATACACAGCATACGCTCCTCTTCTGGAGTCATCTAAGTCACTCACCCCCGTTATAAATGATGCAGTTATGCAGAATCCACTTTGCATCCGCCAGGAAGGCCTCTGTGCAACCGTACATTTTCTTTTTAGCGTTCTGGGAAGAAAAGCAGGGCGCACAGTCATCAGGGAATCTAAACACGCTGCCACCAATAACACCTGTGTCCCCACGTAATTTCCTTAGCAGTCATTTGCCAAATTAATTAATGCTTTTACTCTTTTCCCAAGATGCTATTATATTTGAGATGTCTAACTAAAAAAAAAAGTATTCATTAAATTCAAGACACTAACTTAAATTTTCTCATAACAACTGTCACTTCTCAAGCAGCTTCCTTTATGAGCCAGGATCCTTTATAGAACTATGTGCCTGTTATTCACTGTACAGTCTCAGGACTGAGAAGTCAATGAAGCCATTACTAGGACCCCCATTTCAGAGACAAGGAAACTGAGGTCTGTTAAGAATTATCAAGCGTTCCACAGCTATTATTTTATGAAGCTAGAATTCTAACCCCATGGTTTTTGAATACCAGGAGAATGTGTAGAATTTTCCAGAGCTGGATTTACTGCTCAGATGGGAGTAGGGGAGGGTCCTCAACTTCTCCTCCTCCATGATTTTCTTTATCTATATTTTGGTGCCCATAGTTTGAAAATCAACCCCAGAACACTGGGTACAAACAATCTCAAGTGTTATAAGTGTAATTTTCAGCATGGAATTTGAGTGTGAACTTTTTACAGACACCTTCAGGCATTAAAAAAATATCCTTATTGGTAGAATAATTTGAGTTCTAAGAAGCCACATCTTTAATGCTAATCTGGAGGTTTCCCAGACACTTAATTTTCTCTTCTAGCCTCCTGCTGTTCTCATTAGCACCTCCAAAAGAGAGGAGTTAAGACTCAATCAAATCACCAATTTTCAGAAGCTGCGACTTTTTCAGGTTAAAAGCTGGAATCACTAGCAGAAGTAATGTTTGGAGCTAATCAGCGGATTTCAACACTCCGCTGCCAGCCCTGGAAGAAAGTTATGGATGAGATTCGCGGATCAAGAGTTCTTCTATCCAAATATAAACAGAGCAGGGAAAATGCAGCTAACTTGAGGTGGCACAAGGGAGAACCTCGGTCATAACAAGCATGGACGACCATCGAGAGGTTCTTGATGGTGCCAACCTTTTCCAGTGTACAGAGGTCCATGGGGTGGAAGATGTACTCTGCGTAGTCTGGATGCTGTTCCAACGGAACGGGCTTCTGGAATGCATCTGTCTACAAGAGAGACAAAGGAGACATGCTGGCACGACCCGTCAGGGCTGCAGCACCCCAGCACAAATGTCAGCAAGGGCTTTAAAAATTAGACCACTTTGCAGAGAACACAGATAGAAAGTTTTCCAGGGGGAAGGGCCTTGAAGAGCTCCAAGGTGGCTCACTAGTGCAAACCCAGCCTGGCGATCCATGATCACAGGCTCACTGGTGTGGTTTTTGTTACTTGTTTTATTTTCACTCTATCCCCAAATGACAGGTCCTGCCTCCTTCATTTAACAGTCACCGAGGCTGCTATCTGCTGCCAAGACCTGGACTCTGGGTGAGCTGAGGTGTACACTGCAAATGCCCACAATTCAAGTTGACTGCAGGAGAAATCTTGCTTCACCCAGCCCTGCCACACCAATACCAAGCTCCTAAGATACTTTACAGATGAAGAGACTCTTGGATGGTGGAATGGTACAGCTCCTTTGAAAATGCAGACTGGTGGCCTTGGGGGTGAGTCTCAGTGCTAACACCGTGGCAGCCTAAGTTTGATCCCTGGCCCCGGAGCTGACCCACACAGCGCAGCAGACCTCTCCTGTCTGGCCCGCTGCTCCCCTCAGCAGTGGATTTCAGTGGATCTGCCTGTTTTGCTCCCTACTCTGCCTCTGATGAATCCTCTCAATTCGTGCACTTCTGGCCTGTACCCCAGGTCTTCTACACAAAAATAAATAAAATGAATGCTTTTTAAAAAAAGAATGAACAGTCGGACTGCCTCAACAAAGGGGCTGGAATTCAAGGTTTCTCTTTAGGCCCTTTTCTCAAGGCTCGCTGGAACCAGCTTTAAAAAGCAAGGCCTGGTTTGTTGACAAGTAGTGTTTATTTATCAAGAGAAAGTATTTAATTTAATTGAATTAAATACCCAATTATAATCCAGCAAGCATGTGAACAGTCATTCGAGTCCTCTTTTATAGAGAAGGGACATCTGACCATCTTAAGGAACACTTCAACAAAATCAGTAACTTTCTGCACTGACTGGCTTCATATCCAACATGTGAGAAAGCAGCGCCTTCTTTGATGTTTCCTTTCAGTTTATAATTCTTTCGTGTTGACAAGTCTACATGAATCTATTCTTTTTGTAAACAGCCTTTGGCAGATATAATTTAACCTGTGAAAAACAGGAAGTAATTCCTTGTCACTCAATATAAAAATGACTCCACGGTAAGACAATTTTTTTAAACCAAACTGAGGCTAAAAACTTCGCTTTCATGGACTGAGATTCTGTAAGAGACAAACAGATCCCCAATTCAGCAACAACCAACCAGGATGAAAAACTGTTTTCATCATATCAAATTTCAGGGTAGAAACTCAAAACCAACATGTTTATTTTTTTTTTTTAAATCAAACCACAGTGGCTACTGAAAGTCCCAAGGGTCCTCCTTCTTGTATTTTCACCTGACTTGGAAAGCAAACCTTGGGGAGTTTCACAAAGGTCACCTGCCAGCAGAGGGTTCAGATCAGAAAGAGACACCCCCTCCCCCCACCCACACGTTTCTTTAGAATCTCTATGGAAAAATGACAGTGTTGACTATATTGTTGTAACACATTGCTTTTTGTTGTTGTTAGAGATCTGTTTAATTTATTTAGCACATAAGAACTGGGGTACAAAAAAAAAAGAACTGGGGTACAGACCAGAGGTGTGGGGGATGAGAGGCTTCACCAGAGACAGAGTGGGGAGCAGAACAGGCCGACTGACTGAGACACACTGCTGAGGGAAGCAGCTGGTGGGAAAGGAGAGCTGCACCCTGTGGGTCACCTCCCTGGCCGGGTATCGAACTCGTGCTGCGGTGGCTGCAGCTAGCTTCATAGTGCTGTGCTTTACCCATCGCACCACCAGGGGAGAGCCACACATTGCTTTTGAAAACATTGTTTTCCTGCCCCCTTTTTAAAGACTGTCACCAATAACTGCAACCACCACACAGCTACGATGCATATGAGGTCTGCACTCTCAGGAGGAAGCCAGCGTGACGGCAGGACTCGCCATCTGCGTGTGGTGGCCAGGCTCTACTATCCAGATTTTCCTCGCAGGCCACAGCTGGACCTCAATCTCACCTCAAAAATGAAGAGCAGACCACACTGTGACTCTTTATGGGAATCATTTGTTGAGTCTGACTTGAAGGTCCCATCATCAACCAGATCGAGGTTGTCAAGAAGCTGGTAATACTCAGCTCTCTCACAGGGAAAAAAATCTTACTAATCTGCCTGGAAAGGAACACCGCATCCCCCTTCCCTCCAAAACCAGTCCAAATGTTAAAATACCCGCCGACTTCTGACTGTACATTATTTCCCGATTGAACTCTTCTGGGGCAAGCGTGCTGAGCAGCAAGAACTGCTTGAGGGCCATAATACCTTCGATTTCATTTACAGATATTGAATTCAGGCAAGAGGGTCCAGAGGTGTGCACAGGTGTCTGAAAAGCTACAGCAACAAGGTATAAGATGTTACCCCACAAGTCCACAGACACCGAGCCCGAAGGGAGCTTTCCTCTTACCCCCGGCTGCTTCATTTTCTGAATGGCAAACTTGAGCAGGTACGATAGCTGCTCGATGGTGAGCATGGTCATGGCTTTGCTCTGCGTCTCGATGCATTCTGCTACTGTGATCTTCTGCAAGCCAAGATCACACAAACGTCCGGTTAGGGAAAAGGCACTGCCCAGGCACCCCCTCTTCTCCCCCACCCGCCTCTCCAGTCAGCTCACCCTGCAGTCATCACTCCCACCTGCACCAGCAGGTGTCAATCTCTACCTGACAAGGCCCTCAGTCCACCTGACCAAAAGGTACCAGCCTCAGTGCCAAATGGAGAAGCTGGTCCCATCGCTGATGACCTGATCAGCACGAGGTTTGAGCTCAGGAAAGTCTGACCTATTCCAGTGGAGGAGACGGGCCCCTGGAAGCCCGTCATTATGTGACCTTGGGTTTCAAGAAGAGGATGTGAAAGGAAAGGCCACTGATGGTTTCAGGGTGACCACACCTCACAATAAATCAGCTCTTAACTTGAGCTCTCAAGATGCTGGGGTGTCTTTCAGGAAACTGACGAGCATCCGTTCAATGGCATCACAGAGGGGAGGGATCGCTTTTCCTGTAAAGAATCCCAGGAGGGCAGGGGACTAATAAAACATGACTTCATCTTCCATCAGCAACATGCACCCTCTCGGGCATTCCAGAAAACTCCACGAGAAGCACATTGTTGCCATCACCACAAGCAAGAGATGTCATCTTGTACAGGAAATTCTCATTAAAGAAGAGACCTGGAGAAACGTCTGAAACTGCATTCTGCTATGCAAATGTAGTGCTATTTCAGGGCTTCAGAATCCTTAGGTAGCAGCAACAACAAAAATAGCCAATTCTGATGATGTCAGGAAACACTCTTCTACCATCTGTGCAGGGAGAGCTGAGAAAAGTTGTCCCCGATTCATTTGGATTAAGTCTCCATTCCTCCTGCCTCTAGATGCTCCAAAGGGAACTCTCTGTGCGTCTGGCTGGTCATCGAGGAAAAGGGCACCCTGTGGTCACTCCCTGACACAAAAACCCAATGGCAGATGACTCAGGTATTCACCCATGAAGCACTGGGGACCCCATAGCTCAGATCTCAGACACAACACCTGTTTGTCTGAATTTAGGTCTGTTTCCAGGTAGCTATCGCTGGTGAACACTGGGGCTACCTGCTACCCCTCTTCTCCCTGCACCCCAACTCCTTGCTCCTGAAGGTCATGCCTGGTCTCCACAACACAGACTGAAAGCACCACACAACTGTCTTCAGTCTTTTCTGCACCAGAGTTAGGGAACTAACCCTGACCATGAGCCCCAGGCACATCAGCTGGAGGCTGCTGGTAGACCAGAGCAGACACTGGGGGGGGGGAAGGATTGCGCTGGGGGTGCTGTGCAGGGAATGAGCTAAAACTGCAGGCATCTGATGGACCCATGGAGAGATGGAAGGTCTAGCTCTGAAAAACTCCAGCCTGGCATTACCCCTGGGTTCTTCCCACATGTGTTAATAATAAACCCCTCGTTTTAGCCACCGTGACATCGTTTGGAGCAAGAACTACTGTTTAGTGCAAACGTATCCTATATCTGAGTGGCCATTTCATTACCTTATTAATAAAGAGGCATCGCTCAAGACCAACGTTTCAGTCCACGCACTGCACAAAATGGACTGGGGGCTAGTTTTCCCACAGGGCATCACACCCACAAATCCATCTACGGTCAGCCAAGGAACACTGGGCAAGTTTAGGGGCCGAATACCATTAAAAATACGATCCCACTGACCTGATGCCTAACGTCCTCCCAGAATGTTGTCCTTTCCCTTCTCTATACAAAAGCCATCCCCCACACACTGTCTCGGGGAGGGCTCCCCCTTTCACAGAAAGCAAGCTTCCTCGTTTGACAGCAAATGCCAATAAACCTCAGACCCCAAATAAGATTCCATGATTAAGTGGTTGTGTAGATGACATTCGTATGTTTGGGATTCTGGAAAAGTGTCCTTGTTGGGTTGCCAGGAACAGAAGCCACAGTGGAAGAGCCAGCACCTTGCTCTGGGTTGAACAAAGGGAGTTCAGATGCCACGAATTAAATACATGGGTCCCCACTCCCAGGCAGGGGCACTGGGCTTCTGCAGGTGCTTCTCAGGCCCTGTGCCTGTAGCGCCCTCTGCAGGCCGAGCGGAAGGTCTTCCCGTGTCTCCTTCACCTTCTTCAGGTCGTCATCAGACCGGAGCCACCACTCCCATCCACTCGTTTAAAATGGAAACATCCTACATCCCACCTACTCCCTATTCCTCATCTTCGTGCACCCTAGAATACTCTTCTTCTAACACATTGTAGATGACTTTCTTTATTTTGGCTTTCTGTCCTTTTCTTCTGCAAAATATGTGGCTCATGCCTCTTTTTCCATCACTGTGGACGCCTTCGTACTTAAGACCCTGGAGAGAGACGCGTGGCCTGAGCAGCTGTGGCAAGCCCACGGAAGCCACGCCGACCCTGGTCTTCCCAGCGTGGCCTCTGCTGGTGGCTCAAGAGACCGAGTCCACGAAGGGCGGAAGGGTGTGCAAGCATTTCGAAATACGTGCACTGGCAGAGATCTGTAAGTTAACTTCTGAAAAATTCATCCTAAGAAAACCAGAGGTTGGAGATCTCAACGTGATCCAGACCCGTGAAGAAGCAAAAATAATATTCCGTGCAACTGCAGGGCTGAGGCGGTGCCGATGCTGGTCCAGAGAGGGGCCGCCCAGACCGAGCAGACGGAAGGAGCTGCCTCCGGATGGTTTGGACAATAAAAATAAAGGGAGAAAGAGAAAAGGAGAGGAAACGAGGCAGGTCATGCATTCATCATCAGGAACTAACCTCACATTCAGGACAAAACCAGTCCCCCTCTGGTTCCGATGTCAGTCTCAGACACTTAGCGTGATAAACCCGGGGACAGAGCTCACAGCAAAGGACTTGTCCTTCCCGGTGACAAACCCAGCAGTAGAAATCATTTCGTCCATCCTGCGGTACAACATCAACAGGGTCTGTGGTGAGTGGCTGCTTCATATAGTAAAACGGACCATGTCTTAGTTCTGACTGAAATGTAGGCAAGAAAGACAGGTTTGGTTTCAAAACAAATGTGCATTCTCAAAAGGAAGTTGAACAAATACATCAATCACAACACAAATATAGCATTTCACACATTCATTAAAAAGCCATCTTGGGTTACTTGACTAAATACAGAATTTGCAGGCGGTCAGATACTAAGATTCTTTTTCTTATTATTTAAGAGGCGCTGGGTTAAAAAGCAAGCATCTCGAGTATCTAAGAGTTAAGTTACCCCCAAGCACCACCACCACCACCCAGGTACACAGTCTTCAAACTTCAGCTGTCTCAGCTGCCTGGGCAGGCCTCCTAAGCTCTTGTTTCAATTTTCTCATCTGTAAAATGGAGATGAAAGCATCTAGCATTGGCATCCCAGCTGGGATTCAGTGCACGGAACACCCCAGAGACAGTGGTGCTGTCCGTGGGGTTTAAAAGCCATCACGCAGAGGGCCACTGTCCAACGTCAACATCAATGTGGAAATCTGCCCTGGGGTTCTGGCATTTGGGTTTGGGCCACCAAAAATGGGTCCCTGGTTTTTTAAGTCTATCCCCAAAGCATAAAGTACTGATGAGCCAACCAGAGGCCTCCTGAAGTCCTGATTCTTGATGAGGGTAAGTTCTCATATTTGCAGAGTAGCCTCGCCTCCAGTTCAGACCGAAGGTGAGTGGGGAGATGAGATGGGAAGACTAGTTCACGGCAGCCTCCCCTTCCAAACCTGGCACATCAGGAAAAACGTGTTCCTGATGACTGTGGGCTGGATGCAGCAGCCAGCTGAGCTCTGAACATGTAAAATTGACCCACTAGCAACCCGTCTCTCAGAGACCAGTAAGAAATCCTGGCTAAGGTGAGAAGAGAAAGCCTGGCGGGAAGCGTCAGAGTGACCTGGTAATTGGCCGTGTGACCCTGAGAAAGTTACTTGACCTAGCAGCTAAAACACCGTGTTAACATCTTAGCGGCAGCCCCGGACCTATCTGAATACACCTCACCATGGAACAAATGGTTTCAGTCCTGCAGGAATGAGGATCTTTTCTGTTTCATTTTCTAACACGGTAACGTTTGGTACATAGAAAAGCTGTTGATTTTAACAGTGACCGCACCTGTAAACAATTCTAATAGCTTATTGATTTAAAAAGTCATATCATCGCTCAGGAACATCGGGTTTGTCTGTTCACGTCTAATATTTTTACATGACTCTTGTCGTCTCCATTATTTCAATGGCTAGGCCCCCCAGGGTACTGGGAAAGTGGTCGAGACTGCAGGCACCCCTCTCACTCCTGGTTTTATGATGAAATTTTAATGTTCTCAAAATGCCCATGACGTCTGGCCTCCTTGACAAAGAGTCTCACAGATGCTTATTTAGCAGATATGTGTTAAAATCCTTCTAAGCCTCTGCTCTCATTGCTACTAGGAAAATAGCTAAGATTTACAAAGTGGTTACTTGGTGGTTACTTAATTGCTAAGCCTAGTCCATGCCCTGGTTCAGTTCAGTTGTGAAGACAGGGTGGTTCCCAGGGGATAATTACTGTTACTACACTCTTTCCTCCTTCCATTTCAATATATATCATTCGCACCTAACATCCCATTTTATCCTCAGAAAGGTGGCCAGCCATCACCATCTTATTTGACAGATAACCAACTTGTTTAAAAAGACTCATCTGCCTCTCCAAACTTAAAGCAAGGACTCAAACCTGTGTCTCAGCCTTTTCTCTGGCTCCTGCACCCCACGTGTAACGACAGTGGATGCAGAAGTCTAATGACTCAGGCACCCCCTCAGAGAATACGCTTCTCCTTCAAAACAACTCCTGTTTAATGCAAAAAGCTGCAGGAGGGGATTCTGAAAATCAAGAAGACAACGAGAAACATAATAGAAGGGACCCTGGAGAGTTCGCACAGCAGAGCCTGGCTTCTCTACCCCAGCACCAGAGACCTTGAGGGCCAGAACATTCTTCTCCGGAAGAGCCATGCTGTGGTCTGGGGCACACATAGCAGTGTGCTTGGCTTGAGACCAGCAGCACCCAGCAGGCACAGAGAGAGCTAAAAACCTCTCTAGACATTGCCTGTTGCCCCGTGCCTGTGACTGAAAACACCGACACAGAGGGTCTGCTCCAGAAAATGGTGGTTTGGGCTTTCTTGGTGGCAGGGACTGAGGGTTACAGAGGGGCTGAGGGGAGGAGGAGGAGAAGAGGAGAGAGTAGACAGAGGAGAAGTTCCTACTGAAATTAAACTGTGCCTATCAAAGACCCGTTTCTAACCTGAGCAGGGTCTTCCAGGATGCTTTGTGGCTTTTGAAAGATACTAGTAAGCCATTTGTCAGAACCCAACTTCCGTTCAGTAAGTTATTAATAGGACAGGAAGCATCACTGAGATCGAAATGAAACTGGAAGGATGGAAGATGACAGCCACTCCCCACAGGTCCCCCTCAGCAGCAGGTCCTGCCCACCTACCAGAAGCCAGGCACCACCACCTCAGAAGCTAAGTTTCCTGAGCCCTGGCTCCCAGCCCCCACCGGTGGGCGTTCCTGGAGGGTGGCAAGGCCGCTGGGTGGCCCCACACTTTACAGATTTCCTGCTTTTCTTAAGTGGCACTTTGTTGCTAAAACTAGGAGCCTGCTAATCTTGTCTATCGGGCACCTGCCTTATCTGCTGCTTGTAAGTGTTTCCTTTTCCATAAAAATAATCTGATAACAAATACGGAACATTTAAAACAGTAAAAGCAACTCATTTCAGGTCAAATGAGTTATGGTTTTTCTCCCCCACAGGTATGAGGTGTGCTACCAGCCTGCTAGGAAGCAACAGGTTGCAACCTGTGTGCTTCCAAGGTAACTGCAGACTCTGAAAGCAAATGGTCTTAGTTGCTGTGTCCACAGGCTGGCTTATCTTGCTCATTCTGGAAAAGGGTCGTCTCCATTGCCGTTTCCACAAAGGGCTCCATGAAGATAATAAACACTTGAGGCTTTGCAGCCCATGAGGGAGAGCAAAAGCAGCCACAGGCACTATGGAAGTGAATGAATGAATGGAATGAATGTGGTAAGATGTCAATAAAACTTTATTTAAAACACAGGCCCCAGCTGCACCTGGCTGACAGGCTGCAGCTTGCTGCGCCCTGGTCTGCATGAAGCAGAAAGCAGGAGCGCTGGCGGGGTGTAAGCAGAGTATGTGAGGCAGCCGGGAGTCACAAATTCTAATGCCTACAGGAGTCACACAGGTAATATACAGGAATAAAGACAGTGTCTGTGCTCTGCCTCAGACAGAAGCTTGAATGCTATAAGAAATGTCTCTATTTAAGGAGAACGCTGCCTGGGAGTGTCATATTGCCTTGGACATTCATATTGATGGGCCAGCGGGAGGGGCGAACTCCCGCCCCTCTAAGGGCCCAGCCCGCACTCAGGGTCTATGCTGGGCGGCACATACGTCCAGGCCCACTCACCCAACCCAGTCACTGCCTGGAAGGTCACCTGTTAACACACCCATCCTGCCTGACAGAGAATGGGCTTTGATGAAATGTCCCGATGTTTAAGGTAAGCAGGGCCCCCAAAGGCGTCAACCCTGACCCACCTGTACTCAGAGGAGGGGACTCCTTTTTTGCCCTAGTTGATCAAAGGTACACCTAGTTGACCTAGTTGTACAAATCTGTGTGCAGGTTATTTCTCAAGCCTTTAATGGGGGGGGGGGAGAGAGAAAACCTCTAAAAGAACTCTGTGAACTCCAACGTCCCAAGAACTAAAAAGAATGGCGGGCATATTTTTCAGTGAAGGCCCTAACGTCCCTTGGGGCAAGGTCTCTCCAACCCACCTGCCGATGGTGTTCAGCAACCTAGAGCTCCTGCTCAAGGATAATGCCAGGACCATCTTCCATCCTTAGGGGTCACCCCTGGCAACCCCCAAAAGAAAATACCTATGTTTTTAAGCCTGTCTGAAGGAGAGAAACTACCAGACCAAAAAGTTTTCAAAATTAATAATTATAAGCCTCAGAATAAAAGCTTTTTCTCCCTAAAACTAGTGTTTAAAAGTTGCTTCTAAAAAAAACAAACAACGGGCCCTCCCTGGTGGCACAGCAGCACAGCACTAAGAAGCTAAAGCCACTTCAGCATGAGTTCGATCCCCATCCCGGAGGTGACCCACGTGGCACGGCAGATCTCTCCTGGCCCTCCCACTGCTCCCCTCAGCAGTGTACTTCGTCAGTGTACTTCGTCAGTCGGCCTGTACCCCAGATCTTGTACACAAATAAATAAATCTTTAAAAAAAAAAAAAAACTATGAAAAAGTGGGTGAAATAGGACCCCAATCCTAAAATTCAACCCTTACTTTCACTTAGTAAAACACAAGGTCTCTATCAAAAGTGGAAGAATACTTAGCTTTTGTTTGTGTAAAGCCAAAATGGCTTTCTTTTCAGGGCACTGGAACAAGGAAAGAAATGACCAGTGAAGAAAACGAAGCAGTCGGCAAATCTGGATAGATGCCAAAAATCTGAAGCTCTCCAGCATTCTGACCAGAGGCAGAGCCAGTGTGACAGCCAGGGGTGGAGAGGGCAGAGCAGCAGCCCCGACGCCCAGGTCCGGCGTCGGGAGGGGCAGGCTACTCAGCGCAGCGGCTGCTGAGTTCTCTGGGTTTTGTAAGAACCCAGAAGTACAAGCTTTTATGTGAAACCTCATGATCTTGAAATGTTCGTGACCAAAGGAAGTTATGCTCATCAAACGGTCCTACGATTTGCTTTTAATTCCATAATTCTAAAAGAATCTATGGGCAGAAGGAAATGGGCAAGAAACGTGCCCAGAGAAAAAAATTCTGTAAGGATTTAACTTCCCCTGGAGGGAAAAGACTGCATGAGGGTGGATACCCCAAGATGCGAACTTTCTGTGCTAGAGTGATCACGAGGTCACAGGGGAGGAAGGCCTTCCTGTACAGCTCAGCCTGTTCTCCAGTGCCAACTCCTGACCTCCACTCACAAGGGTTTTAGGCGTAAAAAAGCAAACTAGAGTCAACCTGATGATGTCGCTTAGTCGAAACCCCTATTTTCAGGGTCACTCAGGTGGGAAAGCAGCAGATAAGGTCACACAGTGAGCTTCCCCAGTGGGGCTAGAAAGAACCAGGTCCCCAGGCCTGGAACTTTCCTTCCAGTGCCTGGGCCCCTAAACTTAACGGTCAACAGTGAAGACTAATTTTTCAGATCCTGACCAGCCCTGTGTCCAGTCACTCATGCTGTGCTATCTATCATGCAGAGTCCAAGGGTGTCAGCCCTCAGGAGCTCCAGTCTCCCAGGGCCAGCAGTCCCCAGCCCTGGCCACGTGCTGATACAGAGTGGACAGATGCATAGACGTATCACTGTGGGCACACGGCTTGGGTGTTAAGAGAGTCAGCATTAACATTAACACATGGATGGGGGGAGAACAAAGAAAGGCATGGGTGACCCAAGTTGATGAGCTCCCCCAAAAGAGAGATGGGAGGCAACTCTTAAAGGACAGCTGGGAATGGAGTGTGCACACACATTTTGTGTGTGCACACGTGCACCTGAGCGCAGGTGTAGAAGGCCATTTCTGCACGGGGCG